AAAGGTGTGGACTTGATAAAACCAGAATCAAAGAACTCGCTGAAAATCCTTTCCACTTTATTAAGTTGATCCTATTTTTTGTTGTTATATTTTTCTCTATTGGAGGATTATTCCACGATAATGTACCTCAGCTATAGCTTCCAACATGATTGGTAGTAACAGCATGAACACATGGCGCCAGATGTCTTATTGATCATTATAAATCTATAAGAACAGAGAATTAATGCTGCAACACGCTTTTCCTTAGTAAAAAAACCAAAAAAAACACATATTGTCCGTTAAACAGATTCGTAACATTATACAAAATAATAAAAAGCTAATGGTAAAATGACTCGTTATTTCATTCATTAATTAAAAAATTACATATTATCTGTTATTAGCAACTGTTAAAATCAAGAAGTATTGTTATCAAATTAAAAAAAAAATTAACCATGGTAAACAACCATAAAAACTAGGTTCATCGTTTTATATACTCCCTGTCGGTTAACGCCAGAACTCGTTATGACAGCCAAGAGAAAATATGAAATTATATCTACTTTGGTGATCACATGTCTAAGCTGACTTAAGAATAAGGCTTTTAAAATATATTTACATAAGTATTATAAAAAGTATGATTGCAATTGATAATTCAACGAACGATTAGACTCTGCTGTTATCTTGCGCATTTTTGCTATTAAACACAAAGCTACACGATTGTTTATCTATGCTGTACCTACCGCGGCCATGAAAACTCGAATTTTTAGCGTTATGAGCCCCCAAACTTACTACTCAACTACCGGGGGCTTATGTTCCTAATCGTAATTACGAACTCCTGCATCCTACAAACAGTTTGATTTGGTTTGTTTTGAATTTCGCCCAAAGCTACACGAGGGCTACAAACAGAAAAATACCACTTTACCTAAAATATATCGAACTTGTAGAAATATGATGAATTGTTTGTTTTTGAATTTCGCGCAAAGCTACACGAGGGCTATCTGCGCTAGCCGTCTCTAATTTAGCAGTGTAAGACAAGAGTGAAAGCAGCTAGTCATCACCACCCACCGCCAACTCTTGGGCTAGTCTTTTACCAACGAATAGTGGGATTGACCGTCACATTATAACGCCCCCACGGCTGAAAGCGCGAGC